CACATATATTGTGATGATACACAAAAGTAGAAGTATTAAAAGCCATGATGATGGGCCAGAGTCATTAGACTTTATGCCTATATATATCATATGTTATTATAGTATACTTGTAGGTCGCATATACAAAATATAGGACCTGAGGTTTGTGTTCGAGGATATGATATAGCCCAAGGGCCGTAGGCCCGAGGGCTATATCACATCCAAGGACACAAACCAAAAGTCCTATATTCTGTATATGAGACCATTCTAGTATACTATAATATGATATATTGCATAATGATGACAGCATTTCTGCATGGCAGGTCTATATACAAAATATAGAACCCACCACATCAAAGGAATGATGTCATCATTGTGCTATATAACACATTCCATTGTAACTTGCCAATTTCTGTGTCCTCTTTATAACTAGCTTCATTCAATTGATTCACGCTCATATAAATTGCCATTTGTTCCAGCATGCCATAACTATTATCTGATGGACAGTGACTTTCTCCCATTGTCATAAAGCCCATTTGAGTCATTTGCATTTCTTGTTCACAAACCTATGCAAAATTATGATTGACAAGTAACAACAATTTGTTTTTTTCCTCACCTCATCCTTGACCTTATCATAAACAGTACTAAAGCCAATTGTCAATCTCTGTAATCCTTTCTTTTTGAGCTCTTCAATATTTTCCGTAGCAGATAAAATGAGTTCCATTGATAGATGCAAAGGAAATGAGCATGTGATTATGTAAGAGTTGCCTTCTCTGATAACAACTACTTTAACATATTGGTCAAGCTTTGTAAAAGCAGTTGCCAATAATAATCTCACATCTTCCAAGGTGCTATTTTTAATGCTCCGGTCAACATAAAATAAAGCTGTTTCAGACTGAAGAAGAGATCCATCAAAAAATTTTGCATCAAGAAATCGATGCAGCTTCATTTGATTAAAATCACTGATATATTTGTTGTATTGTTCAATTATTTGTTTAGCTTCTTCATTATTCCAGGAATCCACAACACTTTCTAGTAGGCCAATATTAATTAATGTACATTCATCAGCAATCATGTCAAAGATATCTTTTATACTTTCACATTGGGATGGCAATTTACAATACCCATAACCACGTCGCAAAAAAGTTTGTAACTCTGCTAGGGAAGGAGTATCACTTGCAATAACTTTATCTATAGCATCAAAGGTAGCTGCATATACCATTCTCACTTTTGTAAAATTCACAATGTCCAAGTGAATGCCTATTATTAGATATTATTAAGTCATGCATAAGAGCTACTCACCCTTTTCTGCAGTGATTTTATAATCTTCATTGGTGCATTCTTCTTCTGTATAGAAGAGTATAATATAACACAATTCAAACCGTGGCCTCTTTAACTTACTGTATTCTTTGTATTCATTCATTATAGCTTTCCCTACTTTCTCAGTTCTATCTGACCTTTGAAGAATATCTGCAAAAGTTTTGAGATGTTGATCATTTTGACAAATGGTTTTTTTAACATCTTTGAGCAGCTTTTCTCCACTTGACCATATTCTTTTACTTATTATATTTTCTGAGTGCAATAAATATGATAAACCAAGTAAGTTTCTTTGAACAGTGGGGTCAGATGTATATCGATCAAGAATCTCACAAGCAGGATGCTCTAAAAAAAACAAATATAAATTGAACTGATACTTTTCGGTTTAAAAGCTCACTCTCTCTGTCAATTCCATTAGCTGTGGTGATTTCTCCAATATCTCTCATTGCAACTATCAATGAGAACCAAGTGGGACTCTTGGCCCCATCAGCTTGTGACAACCAGAACTTCAAACATTCTTGCAAGCAGCGATCCACACTATGATGATTTTCCTCAATTATGTCTAATCTATTGACATACAATCCAAGATAGAGACATAAGGCTCTCCAGTTATTTTCGTTAAAATTATGATCTTGTAATGCTTTATGTACATCAATTAGATTAGTTGTGTCCAGATATTCTTTATTTGATGGCAAACTATAAGTACTTGCTACCTACAGAATGAAGATAACATAGCATCCAATGGTTCAATGGCTACTTTAAGTTTAAACGATAGAGCAATCAGTAAGAAGAGCTGAAAGGTCATCATTTTCGTACAACAAGAATGTCAAGGGCGTGGCTCAGAAGGGTGGGGCTCCTTGTGCAGAATGTCCTTATTTGGAATATGCATATACAACTTAACCTCTACAAGTTAAATTTGAAAATCTAAATAGCAGTATCACAATACACAAATTTAATTGTTTCCAATAAAAGGACAACTACAATGACAATTGATAAAAGAAAATAATTGAAACAAACAAACATAGATCTACATATCAGTGGGGCTATTCATAAAATTAATTGACTTGGTAACTTGGTAAGTCCCTTTATTTTCATTCCCTGAACACACAAATTGTTTTAGGTCATAAATGAGGTATTCTTAATTCATTACATTCATGCAGCAGAGATTAATATTCAGAGTGTAGTTTGGCATAGCAGTATCAGTAGTTTTGGGAATATGGGATCACAATTACTACTGAAAACATAACTGCTTGGCTTAATAGTACCAGCCTATGCAAAGCTGGCAAGTCCAGTCACTTGGGAGTTTGTACAACCAGCAGCTGGCATTCTATTACTTTATTGTCTGCATCAGCTAGCAGGGCATCATGAGACCTGATATATTAGTTGGTAGATGATATTCCTGATGTACTTTTGTATAATAATTGATGATTAAATCATGGTGCATGTGATATGTCACAGTAGCTAAACTGTAAAAGTGCAGCTGTAGTTGAGTGAGCAAAGCATACACAAACAGTTCATTTCCTGTTATTAGTTCCTATCATAATACACTCAAATGAATACTGAACTGAACATTTAGCAATGAATGATGTCATAGGAAGAATACATCACAGTTGATTAACAATGTCATGCACCTAGATCATAAACACCCTGTATACTAACTAGCCCATACTTTTTTCTCCAAATCACCCCAAACTTTCATTACATTTTCTGATATCATATTAATGACCTTATGCTATGTAGAAAGTTTAAGTTAATTCCAAACTTAAATTTTTGAGTTGCAGCTATTTTAATAATTCCAAAATTCTGAAATGTACCCTGTACTACCATATAGCTAGAAATTTCTGTGGCCCAAAATTTCTGCGAATTGCCAAAAAATGGCTTTTGAGGATTTAATTTTTGCGATTTTGTTCAAATACGCAAAATTCGCAAAAATTTTGGGTCACAGAAATTTCTAGCTATACGGTATTATAGCCAATTTTTTTTTCTGAAAAATGGCCAAAAACACTCGTAATTTATATTGCATTTTCTGATGCATATCAATGTACTTATGGTATGTAGGAAGTTTGAGTTAATTCCAAGCTCAAATTTTTGAGTTATGGTCATTTTTTAAAATGCAGAAATTGTGAGAAGCCCATGTTTTTTGAAATATGGCTCCAAAATTGCTCAAAATTTTTATGACAATTTTTGATACATATAAATACTAATGCTAATTGTACTTATGTATACTAATTGTACTGTGCAAAGTTTATTACTAATCAATAACCATCAAAATAAAACTTGTAACTGGCATGAAACTAATAATCTAATAAAAATCAGCGATCAGTGTATTTGTATGAAGCATAAGTGTTCATATCAAATCTCAGGTTAAGCTTTTTCTTCACATGACTTAGAGGATTCTGTCCTGGTCCAGAGTATAAGACTTTGCCATATTTTGTTGCTTCTTCAACTCCAACGCTTCCCTGATCCTGCTTACTTTTGAATTCATCAAAGGTGAGTTCAGAAATTAGCAAATAATACCAACTGGGAAACTTGTCATGTTTATTGTCAACCAGAAGTACAATTCGCTCTCTTTTTTTGCCAAGACGATCCTCCCAAGTGCAAGTTGAGTCCAATTCACACTGGTCTCCGGGCATCTTGTAGCAGTGGATGTGTCTGAAGTCAACATGCATTGGGTGTTGTCCTTTTTGAAATAGTTCCATTTTTATTTCTTCGTCATATTTTATGAGGACACCTTTATCTTCTTCACTGTATCTTATTCCTTTTCTGCTGTATGTGAGTAGTGTAGCTTCTTCATGAGGTTGGCATGATGTGAAAATCTTGAATAGCATCCCTTGCTCTCTGGTTTTGTGTCCACAAGACAGAATTCGGTATTTATCTAGTATTTTGCCACAGTCGTGTATCCATTTCCCAGAATAACTGCAATCAGACACAATCTGTAGAGACTTACCCCTGAAATGCGTCATGTATAATTCAAGGATGTCATTGAATGATATTACTCCATCTTTAAAGCACCAGTTACCAGTGTCCTTCTCTCCATGACCAGTGTAATATATGACCGCTATTAAATAAAGTTTTTAGTATGATTTTATTTTAAAATATTTCTTACCTCCATCCTTCCTACAGTTTTCAAATAAGGATATAATTCTATCAAGATAAAACTTTCTTGACTTTCCCTTTTCTGGAATGTCTTTTAATTCATAGTTTGCTGGATCTTTTTCATAAATTTCAACTATGCTTTTAACCTCCTCTGCAATCCAATCTTCATACAATCCTTTTAGACCAATTGCAACAGGAATTAACTTTGGTGATACAATTGTGCCTCTACAAAATTATAATAATAAAATAATGCAAATTATTACTAACGGTAGCTTCCATTGTTCATGATTCCCAAATGATCCAATGATTATCACTTCTTTAGGTGCACGTTTAAAATGCCTCCAAGTGTGTGGGGCATCATCAATTCCAGAATCCGCTGAACTTGATCTCATTGTAATTTTATCTTCTACAAAATAATATGGTATTTAGTTCAAAGTCCAAATTAACAGACATACATCAGACATTTTTTGACCATTTTGTTCGATTGTCCAACTAAATTTTGTGTTGTTTTACCATTTTATCTGAACAAAATAATTTTTAAAATAATAATTAAATTTTATCAGTAAAAATAATGACCAATTTATTATGTCCAACCGTAGGGTTTCTCACAAAGAATGCTAAGTGAGCTAAACAGCATTGCTTCATGAGCTGACAAGCACTACAAATCTACAAAACTGTACATGGCATTTGGAGCAATTTTAAAAATTCGTAAAAATATAATTTTGATCAGAATCAGTTCAAATTTTCTACGCAACATAAGAACATATATGTGTATAATAAAATATCTCAAATTAAGCAATGTCTGGACTGTTCAAACACAATGTCTGAAGATTGTTTGAATGTAATTTCAGGCTCTGTTAAGTTACTTTTTTATAGCAATACTATGGTTTACCGTCAGAAAAATAATCACTTAGTGACTGCAGCTCTTCCTTTAGTTTTAATTTATCCTTTGTCAATTTAGCAATTGTCATTTCTTTATCAGCAGCTTCAGTTTTAAGCTCTTCTACACACAAGATAATAAAATTATATTCGTAGATCTAACATGATTTCAGATTTATCATAAAAATATTGTTAGCTCTTACTCTTAGATTTTTTTGTTTTATCTGGAGTCTCCTGTGTACTCTTTGCTTCTCTCCTTTGATCTGTGAGTACTGCCTCAAATAGCACATATAGTGTAATGATGCACAATAGTAAAAGAATTAACAGCCATGATGATGAACTAGATTCAATAGACTTAGTACCTAGATGCAATAGATACAAGAAGTAATTTCATGCAGAATTTTATACTTATTTTATTTACAAATTTTTGCACTGTAAATATGATCATTAGTGTCATTCAATTGCTTCACACTCATATAGATTGCCATTTGTTTGACCATACCACAACTAGATCTACATGTAGCATCCTCGTGTACTGATACACAGCGGCTTTTTGAAGCTTTTTCCATTTTTATCATATAGTCCACTTCCAATTCATTCCACGGTTCACAAACCTATTATGCATAGTATAATAACAGTAATTTTTATTTGATTCTCACCTCATCATAAACAGTACTAAAGCCAATAGTCAATTGCTGCAATCCTTTCTTTTTGAGCTCTTCAATATTTTCCGTAGCAGATAAAATAAGTTCCATTGATAGATGCAAAGGAAATGAGCATGTGATTATGTAAGAGTTGCCTTCTCTGATAACAACTACTTTAACATCTTGGTCACGCTTTGTAAATGCAGTTCTCAATAGTAATCTGACATCTTCCAAGGTGCTTTCTTTAATACTTCTGTCAACATAAAATAAAGCTGTTTCAGACTTAAGAAGAGGTCCACCAAAAAATTTTTTATCAAGAAATTGATGCAGTTTCATTTGATTAAAATCATCAATATACTTCTTGTATTGTTCAATGATATGTTTAGCTTCCTCATTTCTATAAAAATTCACAACACTTTCCAAGAGACCGATATTGATTAATGTACATTCATCAGCAATCATGTCAAAGATATCTTTCCTGCTTTCACATTGGGAAGGAAATTTACAATAGCCATAACCACGTCGTAAGAATGTTTGTAACTCTTCTAAGGAAGGAGCATCATCACTCTTAATAGCTTCACTTATAGCATTAAAGGTAGTTGCATACTCCATTCTCACTTCTGTAAAATTCACAATGTCCAAGTGAATGCCTATCATTGTTAATTGTTCACACATAACTATACTTATTATATATTTGTGATGTTTACCTTTTTCTTCAGTCATTCTTTCATAAGGTTCATTTACTTCATTGGTGAATTCTTTTTCTATATATAACACAATTCAAAAGTATCAAAACTTTCACTAACTTACTATATTCATTCATTATAGCATTCCCTGCTGTCACAGTTGTAGCTGACTTTTGAAGAATAGCTGCAAAAGTTTTAAGAAGTTGATAGTTTTGACAAACAGCATTCTGGACATGATTCAGTAGTAATTTTATTTCTTCGCTTGACCATACATTCCTATTCACTATCTTCTCTGCATGTAATAGGTATGTTAAACTAAGTAAGTTATTTTGAACAGTGGGGTCTGATATATACCGATCAAGAATCTTACAAGCAGGATGCTCTAATAGAATAATTACAATGAACAGATAAATCATCTTAACATACTGTTTTTGTGAATTTCATGAATCTTATCGGCTGTAGCAATTTGATCAATCCTTTTAAGTCCAGCTATCAATGAGTGCCAAGTGGGACCACCTTTTTGTTTCACTTTATCAGCTTTCGACAGCCAAAAGCTCAAACATTTTTGAAGACAACGATCCACACCATGATGCTGATTAGCAGCCTCTATGCCATTCAGAGTAGTTGTGTATATTCCAAGCTCAAGACACAGGTTATTCCACTGAGCTACTTCAAAATTATGATCTTTTAATACTTGCAATATTTCATCTAGATTAGTTATGTCCAGACATTCTCCATATGTTGGAAGAGTATTGGTGCTTACTACCTACAAAACGAAGACAAATCATAGCGTGTATTGGCTTACTAGTTACTTTAAAGGATAAGGCAATCAGTAAAAAGATCTGAAAGGTCATCATCGTTGCTGAATGTCAAGGGCGTGGCTCAAGAAGGGTGGGGCTCCTTCATAGATATTAGAGTATAATTACCAAGCGCTAGCGCTTGGTATGTAGGGTTGAGTTGGACGAGCGCACCCCCAAAATGGCTGCCATCCCAGAAGCATTGAGCCTGTGTAAATCTTCAGGAATTCTTTATAGCTTATCTGACAGTCAAGATTTCCTTTATAATTTTATTGAAACAGGTTAGTGTTATAAAAAGTAGCTAAAAACTTCCACAAGATAGTTTTACGGCAATGAATGCATGCATGCCTGCATGCACCAAATGTTCAGGTTTCTCCTTCTTCTTCTTCTTCTTCTTGCACAGTTAAGGAAGAACTAGTCCTACAGTTTTTATCCTAGAAAGATAATTTTTGCACCATTCTGTTGCGCTTAAGGGACGCTAGTGCAGTGTGGTTTGGCATTTTGATTCTACAAAATGATTTCTCGTCGTTATTTTCAAGTACACAGTTGATTCACCAAGTGGTTGGACGCCATTTTGATGCAGCCAACTGCGCATGCTCAGTAATAA